AGCAGTCTTTTGGCTTCACACTGAGGTTTCAAATTGGATCACACAACACGCGTGCTCAACGCTGTTCCCATGCAGGCGAGACTAGCGGTTTCGGCGGTTGAGTCTCCAGATAAGCGCAGTGTGAAGATGTCAGTGGAACTCGCTGATGGTGAGATCAGTCCTAGCATCGTTCTACAATCCTTTGATCGGGTTTCATCGAGACAGCAAACATCAATGGTTGTGGTCTCAATCGTGCTAGCAAGGGCTGCTGTGATCCGATCTTCATCGTCATCCGGACGTTTAAGGTTGCCAGCTTGAATTGGGAACGGGGCGCTCGAAAATGCTTGCCAGTACTACTTGGCTGCGCACCCTCGGACGTAAATTCCTGTTCCGTATGGCGAGGACACTCACCCAAGGCGTCACGAACTTGTGCATTCGGAAACGGAGGGGATTACCAAGGATGGGGGAATTGAACAAACGTGGAATAAAGTAACCAAACCGTGGTACATTATAGCGCGATATAGCGTGTCCGGCCGCCAGCAGCTCGGCCGAGGGTAGCATTGGCAAACAGCAGAGAGAGAAAGCAGAAAGTCGTTGAAGCATTGGTCCATATGTTGTGAGCATGTAGCTCCACGGTTGCTCAGGCCTAGGAAAATCGTTGACTTAGGAAAGCCCACCCGAAGCCTTTGGTCTTAAAGACCTGACGCACGAAGCAGCGGCGCGGTTGACGTTGGGAGCCGACGACGACGATGATGCTAACTCGGCTTTCGAGTAGGAACAAACTACTCAAGACGTCCAAGAAGCCCGAATGAAGTAATACGGAAGCCAGGCAAATTTTTTTGGACCATCGAACTCGCAGATCACAATGGGCGTTGACAGCCAGGTGGCTCATGCGACTTCGCAGAGGCCGGTGGCCATCGAGGTAATTCATCCGTCCTCCGTTGAATACTCACTTCTGGTCGCAGAAGTGAGTGGTCACTAATCCTATAGCCGGTCACATTGTATTTGACACCTCGCCTTACGAGCTCTTGTAGTATTTAATGAATAACCAGGTGACCATCCCACGCTCTAGGACGCCGCCTCAGATTGTCCGTGATTACCTATTCATCTCGCCTGCGAGCTGCCGAGAATTGTTCGCAGTTACCCATAAGGGTATTTAAAGTTTACTTTGATTCGACTGGTCTTGACTTGTGGAAGAATAGCATCAAGGGTTCTTGGCGTTGATTCGGTTCAGCCTCTTCTATCTGATTCTCTTAGCTGTGATCATTTTGTTTTTCTTGTCAAAGAGGAACCGAAGCTAATGACCATTGCCCTGCGTTTAACTCAAGTTTGGATGAATATATATATATATATATATATATATATATATATATATAACACCCAATAAACTTTTGGCAGAGTGAGTAACAATAACAAAAAGGTGGGAGAGAGAGTCAGAGGAATGGAAGCAAAGCTCCATGTGCTGTATGGGCAGTAAGCTTCCCGGTTGCCCAGACCGAGGAAGTGGGTTTTCTTAAGGGGGTCCACTCCGTGCCTTTGGTCTTAAATATCTTACCCGCAAGGCAGCGCGGTGATTCACGAAGACCGTTGACATCCAAATGGCTCATTCATCTTTGTGTTCGGGAGCAGTCCACAGTCGGTGGCCAGCAGGTTTGTTCATCCGCCGTCCGTTAGATACTCACCCCGAGTTACAGGAGTGTGTGGTCGGTGACCCTATAACCGGTCACGTTGGCTCTGACACCGCCGTACGAGCACTTGTGGTATTTAATGAAGTACCAGGTGACCAGCCCAGAACTCCCCACGTTCTGAGACGCTGCCGCTGATTGCGACTCCTTAGTCATCTCGCCTGCAAAACAGACGAGATCTATTCGTAGTTAACTCCTCAAGGAAGACATATCCCGATCCACAACCTGGGGACGCATCCGATAGCGTACAACTCGCCACGGGAAGTTTGGATGAACTAGAGAGAGTACCATTCAATGACTGCTAGACCCGTCGGATCGGGCTCAGCTGCTGTGTATTCGCTTCCAAATAACCTGGCGCGTAACGTTGTGCATTTCGGCGTGCGCTTTGCACCTTCAAACTGTAAGGCGCTCCTACAAGTCGGCCAAAAATAGTTTTCACTAGTTTTCACATTTATTAAAGGATCACTCAAAGCCGTCATTTGGTTTGCTTTTTTCCATAGCCGTATTTCTTCTAGGGGCTGCATCGCGGATGATACTGCCATACGCCTTCTTTGGTGCTCGTATGGCTTTTCTGAGCTTCAGTCGCTCGTGGAGACGGTAATATCTCAGGTTATTCGTTAGGGGGAGGTTCAAAAATGCTGCTATGCGACCGCTTTCACTGTGTGGAGCAGATACCTACCTGTTATGCAGTGTTTGACCATTGGTCATGCTTACCGGGACGCTTAGGTTCATCTTCCGGCGCTCGACAACATACCCTCTGATGCCTTGTTGCGAAGCTTGTCAAACTCGAATCGCCTCCGATGCTTCGGTTGTGCACTCCGCTTGTCTGCAAACCTCTTGCCCCATCCAGTGTTGTTGACCGATACCATATCTAGTGAGGCGAAAACCCGAGGCAGTTAGTCCTTTACCAAGCAACTCAGGTTGGTACTTCTTTTCTTTGACGAGATTCTCGGGAACAGCTGCGTCAATGGTTAGTATATTCACTTAGTCCTTGATTGCTCCATCTGGTCGTTTTGTTCCTTGCTCATTTCTTTTGAATTATTAGTTATTATTGCTCGTATTGCGACACGGATCAAGGCATCTGAACCCACTACATGATGCACGGGGTTCCTGGTTGATAGACTGTAGCTTCCCCTTTTAAGTCCGACTTTGTTATCTGCTAGAATGGTCCTGCGCGCTAACGTCGCTTCTGAACCGCTTTACATTGGAGCAATTGGTTGTGACTGTTTGAGTTGATGGTCCAACCGAATGGGCTAGTCTGGTTCCGATCGTAACAAAATGCGAATTCCTGGCGTACACTGCTCGAAGGCTACTGAATGGAGCCATTAGTGGAGAGCGTTGTGCTCTAAAGCTTTAGGAAATGTTCTAGCGCGTTTGATTAGTGCATCATGATCCACATTCTGACGTGTGGCCCTGCGTAAACATTCTCGCTTCCCTAGGACCTTTGCTACGCTCTTCAGCTAATTTCGGTGGCCGCATTGGCCGTTTGGTTTGATGGTTCCGGATGAAGTTTTTCAACGGCGGTTGTTCCAAGCGGTCGACATTCTCGATGTAATGACGTGCGTGTCATATGGTTCTTTGATTTGTGGATAGGCTTTGAATGAGCACTGCCCCAGTTTCACTGTTAGTTTCCACGTCGCTTTCAAAAGAATGTAAAACTTAAGCGTGAGAAAGTTTAGTATCGTAAACGAATGATTTTTTGTGAGCACATTCTGTCTAAGAAAATCAAGGCAACACAAAAGTTTAGACATCAAGTCGGGCAATTGCTTTATTCATCATGGACAGGTAAATATTCAGTCTATTAAAGATCACTATGGATTTCTGGCCTTGTTTCTTAATAATAAATCGTTGTCATGACTGCCATCACGAAAGACTACAGTGTATTAGAGGAAACAATCAGTTAGCTCCTCAGCACTGCACAAGGGCTCGGATATTTCTAC